TAGGGAACCACAAAACAGAGTCTGCCTCTTTGCAAAGTTCACAGCAGTGGCCTCTGACTGTTCGGTCTTGCCCTTTTCCTGTGATTAATTCACATCAATAGCTGATGCCTGGACCACACACCTTATTTAGGCCATAGGAACACAGGAAACAGCTGAACCAGAGTGACCTTATTTTTATCAGTCTGGATCTTCTGGAGCCTGTGGCTTATCAGGAGAGGGCTGAGCACTTCATGCAGGTGATGTGCTGTTAATGAGGAGATTGTAGCCGGTTGTGAGTCACAGACTCGCTCCTTTCCAACAGCAGAAATGAGATTCTCTGGCGCAAAAAACAGAAAAACTAAAAGCGTGTCTTTCTCTCCCTCCTTCACCTGTTGTCTCTGAAAGGGCCTGCTGAGAGCAACCAGGACAGTTTTGCAAGTGAATCATGATGCTAGTCCCAGGCAAGAGAGTACAAGTGAAGCTAAGCCTGCTTCCTTGTGGGCTGGACTGCAGTTGCTGTGTGGCTGCATGCAATGTCCCACAAGAGCATTAAGCAGGCAGGGGCTGGCACCCAGCTCTGCATCTGTTGCATACCTGTTGGTTGGGAATACAGCTTGGGACAGCCAGAAGAGCAGAATCTTCCTTCTCTAGCTGCTGTTTGCCATCTACAACGAGAAGGAAATGGGAAAGTCACTATCATTACGAAGGGTCCCCATGGCGGGCTCCTTCCCAGTGGCTGATAACGCTGGCCAAGAAAAATGACAATCAGAAGGTCAACAGCCAGCCTAACTTGTCAAAAGGGACAGAAATCAGAACTTTCTGTCCCTTCCCACAGACTGCTGCTGAACAGTGCAAAGATCTAATCTCTGGAAAGAGGAGAAGAATTTGAGCAAAAGAGGCCATAACCAGTGTTGTGGAAACACACTGAGATAACTGCCAGCAGATATTGACTGGACTGACCTGTGTGAATTGTGTTGGGGGACTGCACAAGGAAGGTAATGGTATTTATAACCCACTGGGAGTAGTTTGGTTGAGAAGATGCTGGAGAACTTCAAGGTGTTACATGGTGATTAGATACATTGTCATTTCTTGATTCCAGAGGGCTAGGTGAATTCAAACTTTTATTTTAGTGGTTACATTTTTAAAGGTAAAATCCTAAACCTACTCATTTGTTCAGTTTGAAGCCCTGGGCCTGGTGGAAAGCATCAGGAAGGTAAAGGGTTATCATATGTGTGCTTAGTGTTTTTGACAGTTTCGTTACAGAGCATTACATTGCAGGGTGCCTGGCTCAGTCTGATAGCAGGTGGAAGGCAAATGATGCAATTAGCTCATTAAAAACAGGTAATGTCTTGTAAAGTCATTCAAGTGCGTACAGTAGGCATATCAGGTGTACATTTTCTCCATTCAATGGAAAGCATTTCTTTATAGCATTGCTATAGGAGCATTTTTTGTATTTAGGAGCAAAAATTGCAGGGAACCCATTTGTTTTTAAAACAAAGATTTTAAAGTAGTTGACATAAAAGATCCCTTCTGCAAGCCATCTGCAGTTCCTTCTAATGGAAGCAAATTAAAGAAAATTTGCTTGTTTCCACAGTCTATTTACTTTTAAGTAGCAGGAGGAAAAAACAAAGACCGTATTTTTTGCAGACTAAGAAGTGGGTTTCTCTAAAATGTGTTTATAGACAGATAGGTCGATTTGGGTTAAAATTATGCTTTCCATTAGTTCCCTTATAGTGATGTGGTTAATTTCATAACTTATTGTTAGATTCTTTATTAACTTTACTTTACAGTAAAGTACAAGGAGTAGTTTGTGCATCTTTTTTTTTTTTTCACTTCAGTATTTTTCTTGTTAAAAGCTTTGATATACCTCATATTTTCTGCTGTTTCCCCAAGCGTGAGATACTTAGTAATGTACTCAAGACTGGTAACTGATATACTGATATAGATGTAAAGATTTTCCCTACTGTGTTAATTTTTTTGCTCATCTAGAGGAACAAAGGAGCAGCTGAGATTATATTTCTCTTTTAAAGAAAATAAAAGCATTAATAAATAAAATTCCAAACAAAGATAATGCATTAGAACACCTGTTCTGCCTTGTGCAGTGAATACCTATTACAAGCTAAAAACAGATATTTGGCAAATATGTAAACGAAAGCAAGTCTGTGTTTTGTTTTGTTTTGTTTTTTAATTCCTAAGATACAAAAGTACTTTTTATAATTAGAAATCACCAAAACCAGCAGGAGAAAGAATATGATATGGGTCACCCGAGGTCTTTTGAGAAATGAACCTTGTCATGGTGCCCATACAGTGTTTCTGTGAGATCTCTGATAGATTTACATATGCCATAACTTGCCCCTCCAGCTGGCACCATGGCTACTACGTCCAAGGCACCAAAGAAGTTGGCTCCAGACAGTGACTTCCATCTTGGATAGTTTCTTAAGGACAAGAGGATGAAGTGTGTTAATGAGAAAGCATAGGACCAAGCTTGACCATTGTCTCTATAATCCAGCCTGTCCTACTAATGGCTAGGCAGAAGGAATTTCTCAAGATCTTTCTGTGATTTTGGTGGTGTTTGCAGCAGTGAGAAAACCACCCATGGATAACTGTCTTGTCCCCTTATTTATGTTGTAACTTTCAGTGGATTTTCCCTTTCTCCTCCTCCTCCCCTGCCCTTTTCTGGTGCTGTAAGGTTAGTAAGCAGTGTTAAATAGTCTGGGGCATTTGCATATCATCAATAAATAAAATGATCCCTCTTCATTGTTTGCATACAGGTTTCATATTTTACCAGCAATATCCTGAGGTCAAAGCACAGTATAGTACATTATGGTTATTTTATTCTTTGGGGATTTTTGGTGGGAGGTTGTCTTTTGGCAGTCAGAATACTGTTATTTCATATTTAGTAGAAATAAAAATACCATCGTCATTTACAGAATTGACAGTATTACCAGCCACAGCAACACCATCCTGAAGCTTGTTCATATCCTTTTGTGGGGGGTATAAATATTTGACCCCATCTATTTTTTGCATGATAATCTTTAGACACATCTTATTGAAGAATAAAACCAAATAATAAGGGGCAAATATTCTTTGTGGCTAAGAAACTGTTAGCTGTCTAGCTGGGAATTCCCTTTAGGCTGTACCACCAGATAAAAACTTCTCCAAACCCTTAGGGAAAATTGTAATACAGCTAGAAAGTTCAGACTCTGAAACAGGAGCAAAGTTTTTTTCTGATAAGAGAACTAAGCAGGGAAAGGCAGCTCTGTCCATGCAGAAAGCTGGAAAGCTGTGTAGACTGTTGGCGTTGCAAGTTGCGTTGTCTCTCCTGCATTGGAGTGCTTCCTTCTATTGTTCTCCCTCTCATCCATGAAAGGATGGTATCTGTTGACTTCTTTACTATATTATGGTGTCAGTAGTCTACCTCTCTGAATGGAGCCTCTCTAAGCATAGAGTCCGGTATGATCCAGACTGCTCACTGCACCTTGGAGGGCCATATTTTGGGAATTACAGAAAATGTGGTTCAGAGTTCCTCTGAACCTAAATGGACTAAAATGCTACTACTCTCAAACCACATACTACACAGGAAAGTGTACAGCGCTGGCAAGAGTTTCTTGACAACACTTCACAAGAAAGCATTTACTTTAACACTTAGGCAAATTTGTGGGGAGGTTTTTTGTTTTATCTGAAAATGAGTAAAAGGAGTTGAACTTTAAATACAAAACTCTGTGTTCATCATTTGCTCTGAATAGCTTCTTTTTGCTTGGAAAAAGAGGAGGCACTTTTTTGCCAAATGTTACTGTTTTATGAAATATGATTGTTTTCATAATGAAGTATGAAAAATATAAGTTAATAGCTGGCTAAGAAGATTTTGCAGTAAGTATCAGTAGATCAATGTCCATGAGATTCCAAAACAGCTAATGGAATAGGCGAAGTGTCTTCCTTGAAAAGCTGTTCTTTTAGTAGAAAATTAGTTCCAGTTGCAAATGTTCCAGGCTAATGGCTGTTTCCCATTCTCTGCCTTTTTTCTTAGGGATATCAAGCCTGACAACATTTTACTGGATGAGCATGGTAAGTACCGGTTACTTTTCGGTCATGCATATGCATAAAAGCAGAGTCAGCAATAGTGGTACCTCCATGTTAGCAGTTGGGTGCTCGCTGTGTTCCTCATTTTGTGTTTCACTCTCTTAGTGCATAAGCAGTTTGGAATAGGAACCATTTTTTTGTGCTTTGCTTATTTATTTTGCCCTTTCCTTGTTGTCTTTTGCTTTTTGAGCAGCAGCATCCTGTATGTTTAGGGCGCTATGCAATCCTGCGTTGCTGCATTATTTCTAGTGGCACATCAGTGTTTATTAAACATCTCTGACTAGATGACACCTATAGAAAACATTACCAGAGATGATACTGTACATCCGTACTAAGATGACACAGCTTATTCTAAGACCTTCTTTACAGGTGCTTAAAACTCCTTTTAGAATGTAATCATTTGGATGGAAATGCTCCTGTAATTACAGGGTGTATGTAATGTATGCTCACAAACAGAATGAATTAAGGTTGAATAATCTCCATTCTGGCTTTTTTTTTTTTTTCCTTGAACATTTGTTATTGAGGGGGAGCTTGGAAGAGGACTTAGGGCTGAGTATATTATAGATGTTGCTATAATTTTTTCCATTAGTCTTTTCTCAGGCAAAACTCCAACTATATTTTTGTGTTACTCTCTAGATTATTTTTTTCATTCTGGCAAAATTCTCTCAGTGAAGATTTGTCTGATATTTATTAGCTGTTAAGTCATCAGAAAAATATTTTATGTCATTTAATATGTTCTGAAAATTCATGTAACTTGTTTTGAGAAATCTTTGTCAGCAACTACAGGATACTACTTGAAGAGAAAAAAAATCAATCCAGGAACATGGAATATCTGAAGTCATTATCATTTCAGAGACTTTAGTACAGACACTGAAACTCTTAAAGAATTGCCATAGTTCTCCTGTGTAACTAGGTTTGCCTCGGAGCACCTGAGCCCAGGCTCTACCAGTTTTGCATATGACCTCTAATTTCAAAGTGCTAGGTAATTATTTATTTAGGAGCTGTCAGCAAAGCTGCTGCTGCCTTCATGTAGAATAGCCTCTCTCTCCTGTCTCAGTCGGTAGTTTTCCTTCTGTCACCTCAGAATCTGTCCCACTGTATTTGTGTCTCTTCCCTCCTTTCCCCTCCGCTTCAGGTCCCCCAGCAGCTGCTCTCTCTCTGGCCAGCTGAGGATGGAGAGCTCCCAGCTGTAGCAGCAGCTGGCTCCAGCAACACACTCCACTCTTACTGAGGGTGAGAGTGAGAAGGTGCCAATTCACAGCTATATACCATCACTTCCTAACTAGTTGGCAGTCTCTGGTGACCTTTGATCATTTTCAAAGAACTGTTCTAACAGACCCGGTAGGATTGGGTCTGGTGCAGTCAAATTAGGGGGAGCTCTGAGCACTGAAGTTTAGGTCAGCGTTCTTCTTCCAAAGAGGATTAAAAAAATAGAAGCAGGGGAAGCACTCCTTCTCTGCCATTATATTCAGCTCAGTAGCAAATAACTTGCAAAATTCTGTAATGACTTTGCAATTTGGGTTGATTTAGGGTCTAATCTAGATGAACGTCTATTCCACTGTGACATTTTAACTGTTTATTGCAGAGGTTTCAGAGTTTTATTTTCTGCAAATGTACCCTTGGCTTAAGTGTCCTTCTGACTCCTTGTTCTATTTCTTTTCCTTTCCTTGTGCATCTTCATCCATGGCAGCAAAGATGTGTCCTCTCATGCATACAGAAAGCTTTCTACACACAATTCAGCTTTTTCTTGTCCCCTGAGCAACTATTTTTGTAGCACGTTTATCTATATTTAGCCTGGTAGATTGTGCTTGTTTTTCTGTATCTCATTCCGCGTGGAACGGAGCTGCAAATTTCCGTTCCCTCTCCTCTTCTTTCACCAGGCTTACACCAGTACTATCTGAAAAATGTTATTTGCAAACATTATTTCTTATGATGTTCTTGATTGAGACCAGTCTCCACAGAGTGTTTAAGCACCTGAAAACCTTCAGCGATCAGATTTGGTTCATTTCTTTAGATTCTTCTTGCTTCTGTCTAACTCTGCCCTTTGGCCAGTCTTTTCATCTGTGCAGTACCTTTCAGTGGTGTTTCTCATTCATCCTTGCGTATTTACAGAGGTTCATGTTTGTGTTAAAACTGCAGTACTCCTTTTGTTGGTGTTAATCACCGACTACATTGAAGGGGCCCTTGTAAACATCATTTGATCTTTGTGTATGAGGCTTTCTCTTTCAGGTCTTTGATAGTACAAATACCTGTCAGGATGCCACACATTAAAGCATGTCCTCCTGCTGCTGACTGTTGTGAACTTACCACACATCTGTGTGTGTTTCCAGACAGATGTGTTTCCATCTGCCATATTAGTTAGCGATGTTTTGTATTACCTTACCTATTTCAGCTAAGGGGTTAAGTGAATCATAAATAAAATGGAATATAGGGCAAACTTCTTTCTGCACAATAAATAAAACAGTTGTTGGACATCAGAGATTTGGATTGCGTCTTATAATGAAAAAAAAAATCTATGGTACATCACCCCCTTTAACAATCATTCCAAGCACAAAATGAGGTGGGTTTTGTTTTTTTTTTTTTTTTTTAAGTCTATTTATTGGTCTCAGTGACAACAGGGCTCACCGGAAAATAAAAGAATGTAACAGATGGGAGTTCCCAGGAATTGTGATCAGTTCTTTAGGAGGTTTTGGCCAGATCATTTGTCTAATAAAATTGAAAAAAACTTCAGTTTTATCCATAGTAAAAGTGAAGGTTTTGGAAGAGCCCTGTAAAGTTTTTGCTCGATGTTATTTCTTGTACCACAGCCCAAAGGTTCTGCTGCTTCTCCACGATGGTGCTAAAATGGATGAGTTCATGCCAGCTCAGTAACTTTGAGCACACAGATGAGAACCATTCCTGTTTACTCCAGGATTTACTTGCCACCTCAGTTCATTCTTAGTATCTGCAAGCACTGAAACCTTGTGTTCTTGCAGTCCTTTGGCCTTCATTACAAACAGTTGAGTAGCAGTAGCTTCAAATAAGAGATGGCTTGAAACTAACAGCAGACCACAGCCAAGGGTGCATATCTTCTAGTCAGTGATTACCATTAAATATCTATATAACAGGGATGCGATGGGAGCTTATGGTTGAAATGGAAGTATCAGAGCCAGGTTTTACAGGTTTAATTTGTGGCATTTATTCTCTAATCTCAGATAAGTAAGTTAGGATACAATCTGACCAAGAGATTCAGCACTTCACAGCTCTTATGCCTCTAGCTTCATATACTTTAAAATGTTTTCTTTGTTGAATTTACAGAAACCTTATATTGACTGCACAAAAGATGCTCTAGAAAGGTGAAGGAATAATGTCGTAATAGATGCTGAATGTAATAAGAACATTCTTTGCCCTAATGCACTGCACAGTATGAGCTGCTTCTCCCTCTGTTCTGCCCATAGGACTCACACAGGTGATCTGCATTTTCAGGAGAACCAAAGGCTTGCTCTGAAAGTGCCAATTTCAAGCAGATGGGGTGAGATTTCAGGAAGAACATGGTGCCCAGAGTGCCCTAGTTGTGCTCTGTTCAGAATCTGGCCACAGTTGAAGATTCTGAGCAATTACAAAAACACTGGCCTCAGGATTTGACCCAAAAGCTCAGTAGCAACAGCTGGTGTTTCCCTTTTGTCTCCCAGTAGCTGATGTCCCTGATCATCTGGTCTGTTCTTTGTTCTATAACACTGCAGTCACTATTGAACCTTATCACACCATGCTGAGTACTCCCCAACGATTTGATGTCAGTTCCTTTGCAAGTAAAGGAAAAAAGGAACTGACTGATTTTGTAAGCAGTAAGAGACAAGTGCTTTTGACAAATCTTTCAGACAGCATCTGAGAGATGTGCTCTGACATCTCAGTCATGTTCTTCCAGCAGTACAGATGGCTAACCAGAGGGACCTCCTTTCCTCCTTTTTTTTTTTTTTCTTCCTTCAAACTCAAGCCTGACTGAAACATCACAGATTTTATAAGGAAATCTGTGCCTTAGTGGGACTGTGGGCCTACAGAGCACACAGGTGCACAGAATGGTATGGCCTAAATACTGCTATTAGCAGAGAAGCTATCCTAGTGAACAGTACACAGAATGCCTTTTTCCCAGCCTGAGGCAGGCAGGCAGACAGGCTGATAATAGAATATAAAATTACTGAAAAGCTAGATGATAACTTTACAGGGAGCAGGTGAGGCATTTATTCATCTTTGCCAGCTCCTGATCTGAAGATGAAAGTTAAATGGTTGAGACACAATCCCAAGGCGTTCTACTCAGATGCTTTTCAGAATAGGGCTCATCTCTGCCTAGTTTGTGTGGGTGGCAACAGTGTCTGGAAGCATATTGACTGCAGCTCAGTGCTAATGAGCCCAGTGTCTAGCAAAGAGATGGTCCTTGTCCCCCAAAATGTATACCTCAAACACTGAATATGCCCAGATTTGTGTTAAAGCGTAGCAGGCCGCATTCTATTGATTCTGACTGAATTCTGATCCTTTTCCTGGTCTGTCTCTAGAGGAACTGTAGATATGCATACATCTACATGCATACATATCTACATGATAGATATCCATCCTTCTGAGCCATACAGCATCATAGTTTGGACACGCAGGGGTGGTAGGGATATGCAGGTACAGGGCTCCTTCCTTTGGCTTTTTTTGTGATCCAGGATGTATTTTGCACACTGACAATGTCTAGTGCTGGAAGGGGCACGGTGGAGGCAGGCACTGTTTGGTCTGTGAAAGGACATGGAAGTACTAGCACAGTAGCAGAACCTAGGCATCATTAGGCTAAATATTGTGCAAAACCATAATATAAGTTTCTGCCTGAAATAAGTTTTATTTTCCAGACTGCAGCAATCAGCTATTTCTATTAGTCAATCATCAGAAGTCAGAGGCATGAGTCTTACTTTTATGAGCAGAAAAGGATTTCGATTCCTAAACTCTGAAATGATCACTGAAAGGAGGTTATGAATGTGGTATATACTGTCTATAAGACTGCCTTTCGCCTTCTCATCTTCAAACCACTTACAGTTATAAAACAAGTTATGGTCTGAGCTTAGAAAAGTCTCTCAGCAGCACTGAGATGAAACTCAAGATAAAAAACAAATGAGGCTGGGTAGGAATTCCCCATCAGAATGACTTTCATCAAAAATAGACTATTTGGTGGTATATCCTTTTAGATGAACATATTGAATTCATGAGAGTATAAGAGACCAAGACATTAAGTAGACTAAGAGGTCAAATGCTTATTGCTCAAAAATATCAGGGAATATTTTTAAATATTAAATATAGTGATTTTTTTTTTCCTGAGGAAAAAATTTCAGTTACTTTCTCCCCAAAATTTGGAAACACTCAAAATGATGATCATTAAGTACAATTTGGAAAAAAATACATCTATAAGCAGCCTAGAATAGTTTACCTAGAAGGTAAACTATTACCCATCAGTTCTCCCAGAAAAATTTTTCCTGGAAACTCTTTCCATAGTATATTTTAAGTTCTCTATTCAAGGCTATTTTTAGTACGAAATTAAAGCAAATTCAGTTACTCGTTAACCTCTCTCTTTCAGGACACGTGCACATCACTGATTTCAATATTGCCACCATGCTGACTAAAGAAATACAAGTCACCACAATTGCTGGCACAAAGCCATATATGGGTAAGAACTGAGGAAGACTGCAGATACTTGAATTGCTGTTTTATGGGCTTGGTTTGAGGGCTGTGGAGGGATAGAGATGAAATGATTTTTGATGAGTTTGAGCTCTTTTGTTGCTGCATGTAACAAAATGATACATTTGTTTGAAATGAAGGGGGAAAAAAACCATAGATGGCTGCTCCAGGGAAGAGTGAAGGGAAGATTCTGGAGAGGAATCCCCCTTTCGTAATACTCTAAGGCAGTTGGAAAACTTGTGTTCTTGTACTGATTTCACACAGCAGAACAAAGGAAGCCTACTTCAGACACTTTTTAAATGACATTATGCCATACTGTACAGCTCGCTTTGGATTATGAAATAAGATAGTTGCACCCTTGAGATCTCAGAGCAGCAGTAAAGTCATGTAACAGTGATGTAAGGAGTGCTCTTATTACCATATGTTGAGAGGGAAACAAAACATAAGAGGCTTGTATTTGTTTCTTTACTAAATAAGCACAAATCTTACAGTGATGCATCAGTAGCTCAGAGTTTGTATTTTTATGCAAACTGGCTGCTTTAAAAATTAGCATTACTCTGTTTAGGCCAAGTGAGTGGACTTAAAACTTGGTATTTTCATCAGCTGCCAAAACCACTTAGCACAGCAGAGAAGAGCTCAGATTCTGATGTCATACTAACACAGTCAATAGCAGCTCTATCAGCCAGTTTCACATTCATACAAGAGCCACATTAGACTTTAGCTCTGATTTACACAGAACCACAGAATGGTTGAGGTTGGAAGGGACCTCTGGAGATCATCTAGTCCAACCCCCAACATCCTATCTTCCAAATAGCAGGACAAGAAGGGCAAGGGTAGCAGTGGGGCTGCAGAATGCAATGGTGTTGAGTGCACATTTCCAGTACAAAGAGGGCACAGTTGGTGCAGAAGTTACCACCACAACTGGAAGATGAATTCTGAGCCTATTTAAAAGTCTTTCTAAAAATCCCTCTTATTGTATCCATGTTGTTGATATTAATAGATTTGGCTATTTCTGCTAATGGAAAACAAGCCATATGTAGCTCTATAAACTCAGATGAAAAAAGCACATACATGCTCTGGAGGATTGGGCACAATCAATTCCCTAGCACTCAACAGATTTACACACTGACCTTCTGCACTGCTGTGTATGGAGCACAACGTTCTTTCTATGAAAATGTAGTAAAAGCCTCCAGGTTTCTGCTATGCTGAGTAGCTGGGCTGGTTGCTCTGATTACATACTGTCCATTTCCTCTTCTTTCTTTGATTCACAAGAAATGCAGTTTGTAGGCAGTCTTTTTTTTCCCTTCCAGGCAATGGCATGGGACAGGTCCCAGGCAGCAAAACATGCCAGGCAACAGTAGGACTGCACAAGATTACGTTCTCCTAGCGCAAAGTGACTCAGGAGCAGGTGGATCAGCCCTACTGCAGCCTTGGGTTAGGTGGAAGCACAGAATTTTCAAGTATGATGGACCAGGTTTGCTGTCCCTAGAGGAGCGTAGAAGGGATTTGTAATAACTCTACTTGGTACCCTATAGATGGAGCACAGGCTAAAATGTATTTATTCAACTGAATGAGATTCAGTGTTTCAAGTCCCTGGAGCTTAGAAGTTATCTGTCTTGCTGTCTAAGCTGTCTCTATATACAGTAGAGTTTCTTACTTGTTCTTAAGGCCACTTTCTAGAATGAAGTTTCACTGCAGTACCCCGTGTCATACCAGCAAAACACAGAAGTCATCACGGCCCTCTATACAGAAAATACGCTTCAGATTTTTATTCATGAGGCTGCTTTTGTTACATCCAAATGTTCTCTACCCTGCACGCATGAGCGGATCAGCATACACACGAGGAAGGAAGACTCATGGTGCTTGCTCCCCATGAAGACCTTGTTTCCCTACTTCCCAAAAATGTTAGCCCCCCCCCCCTCTTTAGAAGGACAGTACAGGAAGTTTACTTATGCCCATTTACTGGCTAGGTCAATGAAGTAATGAGGCGGGTAGAGACCACCCTGATACCTATCTCTCAAGCACAGTTAATAAACATATAGCAGAATAACATTAACATACCTGGGAGAAATCCAGCCTGGAACATGCAGGAAATTGATCAGAAACATCTTAACCTAATGCTAAAAGAACTATTATGCAAACACTACACAGAAAAGTCTTTGTATTAGATAAACCATAAATTTCACTTTCTTAGGTAAAGCAAAAAACACTCAATAGTATTTCTGTACAACTAACACAAAACAATCCACCCTACTTTCATAAGACCTAAAAAAAACAAACCAAACCAAACAAAAACCCTGAAAAAACACACTCCACACAGCTGTAGCTTATCCAGACCCCCTTGCAAATAACCCTTCTCCTATTAGGAGTCTCCTTTTTATCAGGATAAAAAAATTGACCTTTCACCTTTGCATCACCTGGCACAATCCTTTTAAAAATGAAAATACACACAAAACAAAAGCATTGCTCCTTGTTTTGTTTTGTTTGTAGAGCAATTCCTGCTTTCCATCTCACACAAAAATCCTACAGTAATTTTCTTCCTTAATCTCAAAAGGGAAATTTATTGGCGAAGAAGGAGAAAGAGCATTTCAGTCTATGCCTCTACCCACTTCCTGTTAGCCTAGTAACTTCCTCCTAAAAAGCTGTGATTTTCAGGCTTGGCTCAATTAAAATTTGCTTTTTCTGCTAAGATTGTAGTTGGCACCATGTCCATGTTTATGCTGCATACTGATGTTTCTGAAGAGCTACTTTCATTCATTGTGTGAAGCTGTGTTTAGATTTTGCCAGATTGAAAGACTTTAATTATGAGTGAAGAGATACGAGTGGGAAGGGAACAGCTTTTAAAGAAGAAAATCTATTGAGCTCTGGTTGAAGAGCAGAGAGGCTTTCTGAGGAAAGTGAGAAGATATTCAGGCCAATTTTAGGTCCAGATTTAGTGAATTAGGGTGTTATTCTGAAGCCCATTTACTATGAGATAATGGGTGAGTCCTGTGTTAGCAAAAGGTAATATTTTTTTCTTACTTGAGGAGAAAGAAATATTGAGAAGAAATACATGTTAGGGATTGTGAGGCTCTCAGATACCCCAGGAATGGAAGTGTAGCAATGTAGAAAGAATTCTGCAGCAGAACAGATGGAGTTCTTAGTTCTTTATACAACACAAAAATTAATGGGGTCCAGTGAATCTCTTAGTGGTTGTATAGTAGTTATATAAACCATTCTGTAATCCAAATGAATTGGATTGTATTGATAGGACATTAAACATTTAATTTATAATGGTGATAGCACACCTGTTACTCAAGGCCATCCCATTGTTTATGCACATTAATTAAGCCTGCAGCAGTCCATTAGGGTTAGAAATTATTGACAGTTCCATTTCAGAGGTGGGGAAAGCAAAGTGCAGAGGAGCTAAAATGCTTGTTTGGCTTTTAACACAATAGAGGATGCTTCATACCATACTGATTGTACATTTATTTAATCAGCAGGGTCTAGATATCAAAGTATGTTTTTTTCCAGTGTAGGCAAATATTTGGGTTAAACTGGCATGCTGTGAACTGTATCAGATGCTGTCTCCACACTGAAATATAGCATTTAGCATAGAGCAGGACATGACATCAACGTGTGTTCCTGTTCAGCTGCGGGGAGTAGCAATAATACATTGCACAGCACTTGTTCTCTTCTAACATCAGCGTGTTTTATGTGCATTAACATTTAGCCTTCCACCACTATTCTGAGGTACCTCATTATTGGATTATTCTGCATTACAAGACTGAGACAACAGTTAAGGAACTTGAAAATGATCAAAAAATTAATTGCTGCAAGGAAACCATGAGTTCCAATTCTTGTCCACCTCAGTGGCATTTTGGTAAAAGACCAATCTACCAGCCATATGCCATTGTTTTGAGGAAGAAAAAGAAATGATCAAAGATGTGATAATGGGTAACATGCTAATTTGTGTCTTTGCCAGAATAATTAGGGATGCTTTCTGTATCACTGGATCAAGCATTCTGTGTTGCTAATTTCCACCTGAGATTGCAGAAAGGCAAACTACTTCTTTTTCTGTATTTTACAGCACCTGAAATGTTTAACTCCACAAAACCTATCGGCTATTCCTTTGCTGTTGACTGGTGGTCGTTAGGAATCACTGCCTACGAGCTGCTTAGAACCCGGGTATGTACCATGCAGCAGTTGTCATTTCCTGTCTACCTCTCTCCCCCTCGCTTTAAACACTGTATTTGAAATATTAACACTTTAAAACAGAGATATTTCCCTGAGCCAAATTCAAGATTTTAAGGTTTATTACAACATAGGCAGTAGAAACCAAATCTTCATCAGAGTCCTTATGATCCCATCCAAGAGCTCCAAAAGAAACCACTGCAATACAGAGTAACTCATCAGGACAATTCCTCACTGTGTCCAAGGGCCTGTCAATTGACACAAGCTGGGCAATGGAAACTGAGCCATCTAAATAATGAATGAGAATTCCTGGAGTCTGGACGGTAATGTAATTTACTCTGAGTTCCCATCCTGCAAGAAAAAAGAAAACTTGCAAAAAAATCATATTACAGTTGCAGAAAGATCGAGCAGGTTGAGCAAAAGCAAACCACAATGTGTGAATTATTAAAACAGCACAATTCATGCCCTGTCATGTTATGTTCTGCTTCTAACTCAGTTAAAGTTGGGGGCCTTGCGGATAGGTGATTAGGTGTTTTGGAAGCGTTTCATAAAAGACAAAAGGCAAAAAAATTATATAAATTACGTTCTTCTAAGATTGTTAAACAACTTGTGAGGCTAGAAAAATTCTTGTTTCGAGAAGAGTATGCAAAGCATATTTGTAAGGGACTCTATAATCAGTCCTCACAGAATACCTTAAAAAGATCATTTTGCTAAATATGTTTAAAAGAACAGTGAACAGTATCTCAAATTATGAGTGATAAAGTTAGGACATGTTAAGAGGACGTGGCTGTCTTAAGTGTTGGGTGAGCGAAGCCATATGTCCGTCACAAAAATATTAATACAATATTTGAATTTTCTATTCTGAGAGTTAAACGAACTGCAGGACTGTTCATCGCATTGACTTTGACTTGATGGTGTTATTTCCAAATGTAAGAGTAGAATGCTATTATGCATTCAAACATCATGGCGTGGCCATGATAGGATGATAGCATTAGTGGTGGTCACTTTATGGGGGAAATGAAAGGAAACCTTGAGTTCCATCTAGCATCTGTACACATTAAACACAATGCATCTGATTTCATACCATGATTTGTAACTATTATTTTGTAAATGTATAAAACCCCAGAAATACTGTAAAAATCTGGGAATCAAAAATCTTTCAAAATGGAAACACTCTATCCATTGCAAATACTCTTCTTAAGTAAAGCAGTGATATTGCTGTATTTAAAATTTAAAAGCGAAGGTGACTGTTTACCTACATGGTAACAAATTGATGTACTTTCCTTGTCTAGCCTCATAATTTCAGATATATTACCATAAATGAACTTACGCTAGGGGTGGCCTGACTCCCTTTCACCTGGAATATGTAACCAAATAGTCTTCAGACACAGCTCAGATTTCTGTTCACCATGAAACCGGATCGCTGGACAGAAGCGAAGGGTCATTCTGCAGCCTGATGTTGTACTTGGGGAATTTTGTTCAGTCACCTTTCTTGGGACATTATTTTTCATATAATTTGATTTTTCCTGTAGTGGTCACCTTTCCAAAGGAAAAAAGGGAGAAATCCTGCTCCTTTATACTTGTGATATCTCCAACATGAGTAAAGAACTGAAAACACCAACACTTTTTGCAGGAAATATTGAGAATGTTCCGACCACTGCACTATATATAAAATCCTTTTTGATATCCCTTTAAGATACGAATAGTGGCTAGGCCAAGAAAACACAAACTGGTTGATAACTATAATCTGTGTTTTGCCTCCTATATGTCATGCTGTTTAAATGTCTGGTTATTACTGTTCTTGCTGACGTTGTTTAATTATTTTGTTTTGTAGTATTCTGTTTATTTCAACTGATTTAAGATTCCACAGTGACAGACTTCTGATGATTCAATCTAGAGCAGCAGTGGGGGGTTTGAGAAATGTACAAAGAGACTTTGTCTGGAGATGTCTTGCCCTAAAAAGATTTCCCAAGGTGTTTCAAAAAATAACAGATACATTAAAATGCTTTCCATGTTGTATTTTTCACAGAGGCCGTACCATATTCGCTCCAACACTTCAACGAATGAAATTGCTCATGTGTTCAGGACAGCTACAGTAATGTACCCTGCTGCTTGGTCCAGAGAAATGGTGTCACTAATCAAAAAGGTGAGGGCAGCTGTGGAACGGGATAGCTTAGGAACGTGGATATATTATATCTGGGAGCCTGCTGAAACCAGTTGAGTCTTTCCATTATGCTTTATGGCCTTTGTAGTAAGTTATGGGGATTCTTTGCAAGCTGTGTCCAGATCTAATGTTAGCAACCTTCAGATGGTACTGTATGATAAATATCCAGCTTTTTATGTTGTAGCTGGACTAATATAATCAACTAATGGTACTGCTTATTGGACTAATAGCGGTGAAGTTTGCGTTGGCAAACGAGGCTGCTGCTAATGCATCTCTCCTAAGGACATAGGCAGTGTTCATTTCCAGAGCTTCTCCTATAACTTTGTCTCTCTGAAATGACACAGCTTGGAACTGAATATTGACATATATCTAAAAGAATTTGAGGGAAAAAAAATTACATATAAATTTTGATCTGAGAAAAGAAAAACTGTTCTTCCCTATAATTAAATGATTTTCAAAAAATACTGATACTGTAGAAATCTTTTGTTGCCAAGAACATTTTGCATCATTGTAATTAATTTTTTTAAAAAGCTGTTGTTATCAAAATTGCTTCAAAATCATTACTGGAATCATTTTAATACTAAAACCAAAATTCATAGTGAAGTCATATCTTCAATGGAAAAAAAATTACTTGAGAATGTCAGACACTGTATGCACACAATGGCAACAACGTTGGAATATTGAACCCAGCACCCGATTTTGCAAATTTTGGAAAATATGTAAATAGCTTTCAAATTTTGAAAGAACTATAAGTATTAAAACTGTACTTAATATTTCTTTCATATATTTTTCTTCCAATTAATATATATAAATGTTATTTTATCCATACTAATGAAATACTCTCAAACTTTCTAATGAAAATGTAGCATCAATTCTTTGTTGAGACAGTAACACAGCATATTTTCCAAGAAGAAAATTGAAGAATATCCCCATTTACTTAAAAAGAAGTGGAACTGGAGTCTCATTAAGCCTAGCAGTAACAGAGGGATTTTTACCACAGATGCCCTCTCTGTTGTTATTTATTTTTATGTTTGTTGAAAGCTTTTTCCTGAACCACAACATACTGCAAGCAATACAGGCTGCCTTGTGAATTAATAATGCAATGTCACAATTATTTAAATTTCCAAGTGCCCCTTTGCATCTGGTTTAACAGCCATATGTATTATATATGAGGCAAACTAGGGTTTTGTCCTGGTTCAGATATCTCCTGTCAATTTTCCTATTTATTTAGGTTCAAAGCAAGTGATCATTCATAGCAGACCCACATCACTCATGTTAGGTCTCAAAACACAGAGTTCAGTCAGGAGAACTCTGGAGTCAGGAGTGATGCTATCACTCAATCACTCCATCTCACACACCCTGATGGCGCAGTTTCTGCTTCTCGGTGTGTACTGCTGCTATTCACACCCTAGCTACAAGCACTAACACTAAACAGGGGGTTGAAGCGGTCACCTTATTGACTGTATTCAGGAAGATGAGGATTGTCTGTTTCTCCTGCTATATTTTTGGAGAGCATGCTATCAGGAGTGTGTGCAATGTTGAATCCTAGAACTTTAGCAACAAAACTCAATCATTTCCTTCCACATGAGTTATTCCTGCAGTATTAATAAAAACTACTGAAAATAAGCAGTATGGTTTTCATTATTTCACACTGGAGTTATGGATATAAATATTCCGTTACTGGAGTTAGAAAACCAGAATGGTTTACTGATACAGTATTAAATTGGGAGTTCAAAGGCATGAGTTTAGTTCCGCATTCTGTAACAAATGCCTTTTCTAAACTTGGGCAAATTGTTTAATATCACTGTGCCTCATCTCCTGTTCTTAAAATGTGAATACAAGCTATTCATAAAAATGAGAATAAATAGATTTAAAGATTGTGAGCCACCTCGGCACCTTGGCGAAGGGAATCTTAGCTAGAGCAATAGAAAAGACATATCCTTTCAAAATGCCTTGTATTAATGTAGGATTGTTAACTATACTTTATTTCCTGGAGCTGTGTTCTATGGAGGCTCCACCATTGTCTTTGGTAGACAAGTAGCATTTTAATAGCTTTCAGAATAATTGGAGTGGCTTGTTAGTTAGTTAGTTTGTTTTGTTTGTTCACAGCATTTACTGGTAGTGTATCACTTTGTTCACCAGCTTTTAACAGCCCATTTCCCTCTGCAGAGGTAACTTACATTTCACCACTGATAAAAAGTCATTTAGTTGCTGCTGCTAATCTCTTGGTTTTACTGGAGACAGGATAAGTACAATACTTTAAAAAAGGAAGAGCCAAGAACATATATGTCCCTTGGTAATACAAAGGTATGGAGGGTGAAGTTGCTCCAGATATCAAAGACGATAAAAATATTCCTGCTAGGATGTTATTTAAACTGGATAAGTGAGGAATTACACAGGACAAATTAAACAGACTGCACATTCCCCTTGGAAAAAGAAAAGGACTTGTTAAAACGGAGCACTTGGATGATCACTCACACTCTGGGCTGGCTGATGTCATCCTTCTTAGCACTGTGCTTAACTTACTAATAAGGAAGAACTCACTAAAGGGAAAGTCTTCTCTGGCTGTGGCCAAGTAAGCATCCCGGTGGCAGAAGCCATTAGCCGTGAGACTACCTTGGCTCTTACACTGCAGCGTGTGCGCCAGACACTGGACTGTGTGCTAAGCAGGACTGTGCTGAGGTCTCTGCTCTGAGCTTTGGGCCAGTGCTAGCTAAACTGCTCTGGCAGCAGAAGAGAATCCCAAACACAAGCGCGCTGACAGGTAAGGCCACTTTCCTGAATGCAAACTGGTGGGATAGTGCGGGGTATTTCCCCCGGGTAAGGAGAACTTTTCCCGTTGCTACAGGCCAGTGCTCTCTTGGGTCTATAGCAATACTGCTTCAACTCTCCCCTAAATTGTCAGGGAGGGTAAGGGCAGGACTGTCTTACATGAGCCAGTGAAGAGCACTCAAGGTGGAAACTGGACTGACAGATAATGAAGGAAGATTGGGAAGAGTTAGGACAGCAACATAAGGAAGGGCTAGAGCATTTCATCTTTGGCAAAAAGGTGTGACACAGACTTTGCACCGAACCAAGAGGTACTGTGATCAGAGAGGTGTCTCTGAGATGTCTCCCCTTCCCCTTCCTGCTCTGAAAACAGGGAGTTGTTTGCTACCAGCCTACATTAGAGACATATGGCAACGGTCCCCACCAACTGCTGATACGTCAGAGCAGGAGAAGTCATGGCCCTACTTCTTCCTCCGTTTACTTTTCTCACATGTGTGGTGCATAGCCAAACTTACAGTCTCGCCCAAATTCTGGAAACTGAAAAACCTACACAAGCCTCAGACTTAGCCCCAATAACAAATGATACACAAAGCTGTCCTTGAGAATTTTCTCCCTTGCCTTTGTAGCTACATAATAGTACCATCGTATTTAAAGTGTTCCCTGGGTACCTGCTGAATAAGGACAGTAGGGAACAGTACCTAGCTATCAAAGGCAAAATTGGTGCATTTTACAAAGCAACTGCTGACAGATATATATTCAAAAATCTGATTGTTATTTCTATGTCTCAGCTTTTATCTGGTGGAACTTTGTTGCTGACATGTTTGTATATACCTAATATCATTTTGTCTTTCAGGGTGTCATTTTCTAACCTCTTTCAGTTAACTCTTATTGCAGTTGCTTGAGCGAAATCCTGAGAAGCGTTTTTCTCAGCTGAAAGATATCCAGGACTTTCCATATCTGTCAGATGTAAACTGGGATGCTGTTCTTCAGAAAAGGATAATGCCAGGATTCATTCCCACAGTAAGGCAATTTTATTTAAAAAATCCTTAGTGGGTCATAGTATCTTTTTACACATTGCAGCCTTCCTTTGTGCTTTGCACCAAATGTGAATGGGAGCTTCTTCCACATTTTTCACAAAAGCATCAGATGCCATAAATTGCAGGAAAAAGAGAAGCCTGGGCAGAATTTTCAGCTTCCTCTGTGCTGTAGTAAAGACTAATAAGGGATAACCACAGGTATGGGTGCCCCAGACTTTGATGTACTCTGTAATATTCTCAGAATTTCTGGATACAGAATTGATCTTACATACTCGTGACCATCTCTGCCATGATAAATGAGATATGTAATCACAGTGCTTGTGAGCAATCCTGCACTGAACCACCTTTCTTACGAGCCACGTTTAGGACTCACTGAACCACCTTTCTTACGAGCCACGTTTAGGACTCACTGAACCACCTTTCTTACGAGCCACGTTTAGGACTATCTCTCCAAATGAAAAAAAAAAAGAAAGAACAAAAACAGTAGATCAGTGTTTCTGATCCTTTTGTAATTGGATGGAACCAGCAAAGAAGCAACATAACCTTTTTGGAAAAAAAAAATCCAAGGACCATCCCATGCAGCCTTACACCAATGGCTTTTCACTTACAGCCAAGCAAAAGGTTAGCTCAACTATGAACGTTTGTTAATTGTATGGATTTTCCTCTCTGTTGGTTGTTTTCTTTGTGGTCAGTGTACATGTGTATTGCTTTAAAACAGTTTTGCAGGTTACTGTACTACCTCCTAATGTTTTGTAGCCCACCAGAGGCCCACAGCCCACCAGTCAAGAAATGTTGTTCTAGCTTTCACTTTGAAGCAGCCAGTGCGTTGAGTATAAGCAGTAACCCCCAAAAAGAGCAGGTAATTTTTAAAATGATGCAAGCACACCTTGACAAGGTCCCCCTGGCTGAGAAAGTGATAAAACTAACAACATGTGTAAGCAACAGGTGCTCTGGCTATGTGTGTGGTTGTAATTAGCTTATATTTTTACAAAATTCATTTCCCAGACACTGTCCAATTTGTGAGAGCCTCTTCAAGACAGGGATTGATCAGTTAAGGCACCCTTTCTCTCTCCTCTAGAAAGGCAGACTGAACTGTGACCCAGCCTTTGAACTTGAAGAAATGATCCTAGAATCCAAACCTCTTCATAAGAAAAAAAAGCGCCTGGCTAAAAAGGAGAAAGATTCCAGCAAAAGCAATTCTTCACAGGTGAGAGAATTTCTTTAAAAAAGTGTTTAAAGGTCAGCTGCATTTCTGAACATCTTAAATATTTTATCACAACCTCAGTAATAGCTCTTTCAAATACAAAACTGAATCTTTTTTATTCGTTACCAGTGGGTGCAAACACCCATAAAACCAACCTGTCCTTTGCTGCTCCAGAGGGCAAGTGACCAGAATGTTGTCAAAAGCCCGAGTTCCAGCTCTGTGCAGTGGGTAGGCCTCAAAGAATGGGTTGGGTTTTATGAAGCCAATACAAATTGTGAATAATTATTCAAAAAGGAAAAGGAGAAAATAGATTGGAAATGTCTTTATTTTCAAAGGACGCTTGTTGGTCAAATCACCCTGCATCAGAGATTGATCGGCCTCTCAAGGGTTTGCCGCTGGATGGTGGTTCGGCCCTTATATTCATCCACTCCATACCCTAGCACACTGTCTTCCTCTTGGCGCCAGAGCCTTCCTGTTGTCCCTCATGTCTCTTTTGCCTTTCCTTACACAATGGAAAAACCTCTTTCTTTGCTCCAGCCCTGCTCCCTTTCACCTCCTCCTCCTCCAGAGTGCATATCCCTAAACTTAACTTTCAGCTCTAAAAGGCCAGTTTTGTAGCACTGTAGAGGTGAGGGGAATGCAGAATCTTTGTAAATATTTTCCCAGGTCTCATTCCTGTCAGATGGGAGGATTCCCTGAGGTTTGTAAAGCGCGTTTTGTCTGCCAGTTCTCACAAACTCGAAAGCAGCCTTAAATCACGGCTGGTGATTGACTCCCACACATCAGCACAAAGAAGAGCTTGCCTATTTTCTTGCTTATTTTTGCATGCAGGACAGATAGTAAAGATTCTTTCAACATTCTTTTTAACCAATAACAGAATTTAGCAAGGTGCAACATCTCACATGTCCTATTTACTGCCATGGGTGTTTGTGAAAACAGTGACTCAAAGGAGATGAGCCGTGTAAGAAAGCAACGAATGATAAGAATCCATAGATGGAATTAAATGTAACGGGGGACTGTTACATTTACAGCCCATGTAACATACATGTTACATACATGTAACATGTACATGTTACATACATGCCTAAGGAGTTACACTCCTTAGGCAGCAGTCTACAAGGCTGGCATCTGTGAGGGTGTGAGCTGTGACTCACCGCTTGGTGAAGTGTGTGCAGTGGCAGGTGAACCATGCAGGACCTGTGCTTCTTTGAGATTGCCCTTCAGCGAAGCCTCAAATGAAGGTTTCAGAGGTGACATGCGTTGCTCCAAGCGTTGGGTGTACTCACAGCAGCTCTTGGGGCTGCAGAGTGTTCTCTCTCAGGCAAAGAAACCCAGTGCCAGTGTGATCGCAGCCATTCTTTCCAGCTGGAGTTAGGCCTCATAGTTTTTTTATTTGCCCCTGGGCTGTTTTTCCCCCCTGTGTGCACACGATGTAACCGTGGCTGCTGATGGGCTTGTGCCTGAGGCGAACACATGTGACGCTGATCCCGGCCTCCTGCTTGCTTCCCCCTGGCCTCAGAGTTCCCTGAGCTCAGGAAATGAGACAGGCTCTTCACAGGGCTCTGCGATCTGACAGCTAATATTAGGTGTGTCCACAGTACTGTGTCCTAAACTCCAAAAGCATCATTCAGCATTAACACAGACTCCCCTCGTTTTCCCCATTGGACAAGGAGGAAGCCCAAGTAGGGGCTAGAACATTTTTGCAGAAATGCAGAGATGCAGCTAAGAAACTGCATGCGTCTCTTTCCAAAGCTCCCATTCCCTCCCTGCTGTCTGTAGTTCTCACTTGTCGCGCAGTGTCATATTCTGTGCTGTAAGCACCATGGGGAAGACAGTGTCCAGTGGTATGTTCTGCAGGGCGCATGGCACGCTCTGATTGAGGAGTAATAACTGTAGCCTTCATCTCTACTTCCCAGTTCTGTGTTACACAACATTCTCTTTTGTCTCTTTAGCCAATACAGACAAGATGTAAGACTGAGCTGTAAGACTGAAGACTCAGTTGCAGTTTGGGGGACTATGGAGAAATCTAATAACCTTGGGGAAATTCAGCTGATTATTTAGCACTTTGCCAACTTAAATTTCTTCCCATAATGTAGACTCTAGGAATTTGTGTTCTCCAGATCCTGCCTCAACTGCCATGTGTGTTTCTGCTTGTTGTGATTGATCTTGTGGTTGTTTCCCTTCCCAATGGTAACAGGCTGGGGAAATTGCAATGTTGAGACAAGATCCCCTTGTACACACTATGAGTCTGTTTAGGAGTACAGCTCACTGCACAGTTAACAGAGCAACCCGTACTTGAATTGTTTCTTTCATGTTGGCCTTCTACAAGTGAGAGCATGAAATAATTCTTGAGCTGCTGCTGCTGTGGCCTCCATTGGTTTGCACTGTATTGTCTTGTACATTGTGCAAACACATCTAGGGGTACATCCTGAGGCCTGGAAGGCTTCACTGTGGTGAACTGTATTATGTATTTGCAGAGTTTTGAGGTTTTCTGCAATATCGAAATCCCTGTGGAAACAAGACTTATAAATTGTGGCATGTATATACCCCAGTTTTAAATGAGAAGAGGGAGAGTTCTAATACCATTCTCCCAACTGCAGTGCTAAAGATATTCTATATCTGGTGATATCTCTATCTTCTCCTTGAAGTTGCCCTTGCAATATCTTTTTGTGTCAACTGTGAATTTATTCCATTTCTTTTCCCATCTTTTTATATTTTCTATTCCAATGTGGAAGGCCTGCCATCTTCAAAAGCACCTAGAGATACTCCAAAGGGATTTCATTGTTTTCAACAGAGAAAAGTAAGTATTGATATAAAAGTATACTGACTGACTCTGGCACGATGACAAAGCAGATCTGGCAACCTTCTCACTTCCATGCAGTAGCCACAGTGTAGTATGATGAGACCAGATCCACAGCTCGCAAGCAAATCCCTGCCAATGTAAATAGTTCTGGACCCGTAGCCCTCTCAGGGCTGAGTCAGGGGGTGGCAGCCCACTGAAGTGAGGCACAAACTCATGCCTCTGGATCTGTAGCAAAGCATATTTCTTCCCTTTCTGCCACTTCACTGCTCCAGGATAAAGTGCTGGTCTTCAGTGTCGCCCCCCCCCCCCAGTCTTGTGATCCGCTACAAGCCCTGTGTGAAGAGTGAGAGTCCTAGGGAAGAGCAGAAACTCTGTTTCTGCAGTCGCAAAGACAGTGTTGCAGAGCTGGGCCCCAAGTTTGTAATGATCCTGCTAAAATAGGGTCTTCTCTTTGTGAGCCTCTCTCAGTAACCATTCCTTAGAGGCAGCCTGCTGAGTCCCTGCAGAAAGAGCTCTGAGCAGGGCCAGCTCCAAAGCAGGAGGGAGAAAGTGGTGACGAGGGGGGCTCAGAGCAGACCCTGTGTAAGAGAGGCGGTAGCACATGCCAGGAAATGGAAGGCTTGCACAGCCTAAGAACAGTGTGCATTTGCATTGTGTGGGTTTTCCCTTACAGCTTGAACGTTCCTTTCTTTCCTTAAGGGTGAGACACCACCACAATGAAATCCAGGAAAACATAACCATGGCAAAAAGCAGAGATGCACGTAAGGAAGATAGCCAGAACAATAACCTCTGAGATCAGCGTAACCTCTGCCGGAGCCGTCCTTGTGGGTTTAGTGCACACCTACCTACACGCGTTGGTGGAGCTTAGCAAACAGAATCATGCACTGCTAGCAGGACACTGCAGATAGCCCAGCACATGGCTTCTGGGGCAGGAGCTCGGGCGCCCTTTCATTCTTCCTTCCACCCTGCAGCAGGTGGATCCTGGAAGTGGGGGAGACACCCTGGGTGTTGCCCCAACAGTTTGCACAGTTAGACTCAGCTCCTGTTTTGTTTTGCCTTTCTTAGTGACAGGAACATGACCATGTGAAAATGGATGAGACTAAGAGTAGCATTCCTCCTTTTGGGCTTGGATAGCCTGTATCGCAGTCTTTGGTGCTGAGGGGGGCGGGTGCCAGTGGGTTTAACAGAAGGGGTGATAGTGTGTAGTTAGTAGAGCTGTCCTTGCTAGTATCAGTCTCGGTGATGGGTCTGCAACAGCACATTGGGTCCAGGCTCTTTGGCGGCCAGGGCTCTTGCATGGACTCATGGCTGCTTGTTCCTAATGGAAGTGGCTGCTCTCAGCTGCAGGCTCGTGACAGGTGTGCGGCAACAAAGGTGGCCTTTGCTTGCAAAGTTCTCTTGCTGACATTCCTCAATTCTGGGCATGGAGGCGGCAATGAGCAATGAGCTAAGTGGGAGGAGGCAGCAAAGGTTTCCTGGGCATTTGGCTGCTCTTTTTCTACATGATGGTTCTTGTACTCCATTTCTCACAGAGCGGGGCTGGCTTGCTGAGTGGTCAGTCAGAGCATATGGACAGATGAGGAACTGAAGAGGTAACAACCACGTACTGGGGGGGGCTAACACAGCAATCCAGCACATTCACCATCACATTAAACTGCTGCAACTCACTGAATTTGATGGGGTTGCAGCTTCCAACATCAGAGGTAAACTTGGTTGTGTATCTTTAAGCTACTGTGTCATTGATTGTAGGCCTGATTTAAGCAGCTACTGTTTGCAGCAAGAGCTGCGCTCCTGGTAGGGTCTTTGCCAAGACTGAGATTGGCCAAAATAAAATAAAAAAAAAAAAAAAAAAACACAACCCTCTCTCTTTTATGGTAATGTGGGGAATGATGCTATTTAAATGCCTTGGCAGACCTATTTTTCACCTCCTTATTCAACTTCTTTCCTAGTCTCAGGAATATGATGCGTGCGTGATGGACTCTTTGTCACCGATTTGCCCAAAGCAGTTCTTTGTATCCCCCTGTGCCTTCTTGTCATCCTCTCTGGCTAAATCTGATCAGCTCAAAAGTCTGAATAAAAACAACAGCAAATGCAGTACTCCATCCCAGATGACCAAAAGCCAGTGTTATTTCTGAGGTCACTTGCACTGCAAGCCAGAATGTGTCTCCACTGCCTAGAGCCAACTAGGACTTTACTGGCCTCTTACTTTAAATGTGCTTTTCCCCTTCCTGAAGCTAAGCTTTCTGCAATGTGATGGCTTGGGTCCTTTTCTGACAATCAGAACAAAAAAAAAAAAAAAATTATGTGCAGTAGACAGTGTGTCTTCACAGCTGCCTGTTAGAGATTGCGACGTTAATAAGTCATCTCTCGGTGATCAGATGATGTTGGTCTAGTTTGCCTTGCGACGTATGTGGTTTCCTCGTGTGCATAAGCAAGTACCACCCCATGAATGCCACTTGAGCCTGCCCGAAGCCGAGTCGGGTAGTGCCTGTTAGTGCATGGCATCGCTGTTCTGGCAGAGAGGGAGCAACCCAGTACTGAGAAGCTGAGTCATAGTGCACGTCTGCAAATAAGCTTTAGTTGGCCATCGTCTTTCACGTTCTGGTCTCTGCCCTGGTGGTGGGAGGGAGATCACTGGACACCAGGCGGGAGCAGTTGCGGCAGGTGTGGGCAGAGCCTCCTGGCTGGGAGCAGCTGGGCAGTCCAGGGTCCAGCGCTGAATGGCCCCGTGCTTTTTAACACGCCAAGTCGAGACCTGGCAGTTTCAGGAGAGGCCTGAAGACTCAACGTGAGGGCACAGGACTGAGCCCGTCGTTTCAGTGACCCGCTAGAAAGGAGAATTGCATGGGAACGCCTTGGTCGCATAGCTGACTGCTCTGTATCTGATTTACTGCCTCACTGTGTAAGCTGGTTTACTGCCAGCGTGCTGCAGCTACAGCGTCCCCTGCTCCACCAGCTCGCGCGTGCAGCGTGCGTAGCAGAAAGACCGAGCAGGGCAAGTCCAGCACTTCCACTATGGGGGCCGAACCTGTGTCCCTGCCACTGCCGACGGCAGGGCTGCCGGCCGGGCGGCGGCAGCGGTTGGCCTCTGGGCCATTAAC